CATGGCTGTAGATTGCACACAAATTTGGAAAAGTGCAATCCCTAGAGTAGATTCGTCCTTCTTAGGAAAGTCAGCACAGTGAACGAGCATTAGCTTAAAAAATTATTTTTTCAAGGGTTTTATTAAAATTTTACCCATGATTGATTGTTTGATTGTGACTATAAAAAATGATATATCATTTCATAATAAATGAAACGTCATGTGGGTCTATGACTCGGCTTCAGTGGACTATAAAGTATACAGCACTCACTGATACCCTGACATAGCGCGTAACAATAAAAAACACACTAACAAAATATCAACTGCACACGTCTGAGCAAAAACGACACTCAAAATACAATTAAGTTCCAATAGGCACTCATTTTTACTGAACGAATCCAAAGATAACCATAACCAGGGGAATCAATTATCAGTTGCTGGGGAATAAAAAAACTACAAAACTGATTACTTTTTCCGTGAACTGATACGTTTCAAAATAACAACCAAACTATTGATAAGAATTAACCCAATCTTTGCTACTAAACAGGTAGATAAAACATTTAATATCATATTTCCCACAATTATAATTTAAAAAATCTTTATTTTTCGTTACAATACAAAAACCGGTAGTTTACCGGTCAGCCCGTAACCACGGCCAGTGCAACCTGGCCGAAACGTCGGTAAACTAGGAAGGTGTGAAAAATACCTATTCGTATGTAAACGCGTTTAATCCCGTTTCCAAATGTTAGTAAAAATAAAATATTTAAAAAAAACTTTATTTAGTCTACAAATTTAACAACGACAACATTGTCTGTAGTCTATCATGCCTTTATGAGAGTCTCAGCCTAAGCTGTCAGGTCTTGTTCTTTTGGTGAAATTCGCTTTTGAGTATATAACTAGAAATAGAGAGGAAATAAGGGCCATCCATCCCTGGCAATTCACCAGGCAAATGGGCCCTATATCACTTTTAAATATCAATTCTCGTTTGCGCTGAAACCACAACTGACCTGTGTGTACATTCCAAAAATGTTCTGTATTTATTGTATTAAAGATAATATCTCTGAAAATGGGGAGTTGTTCCACTAGTTGGTGTGAAAAAACAGGAAAAAGATTTAATTACGAAACAACCGGAATCATATTTTATCGGTTATTAAATATGTAATTTTTTAATTTTCTTGCATTACATACAGCCGAACTTATAACCTCCTCATTTTTTTTGAAGTCGATTAAAAATAGACATTCTGATATGTACGTACAAAAAATTTATTGACAATGAAAAATCAGGTGAAGGCGGTGACATAAACAAAGCATTATATCCAGTGGAGGCATGTATATTATATTAACATGCATTTAATTTGATGACTTCATTGCTGATTACACGTAATAATAATAATCTCAGTAAGGAGTACTAAAAAACAAACCTTAAAATTTCGTGAAATTACATCTAAGTATTTGCAAAGCTTTTTTGAAATCGGTTACCGGAAATTGCGCGAAACCGGATTCATACCCAAGTTTGTAACTCTTAGGGTATTCCAGAACTCTACTCAATACTCAAGTCCTTGCCATTAGGGTCGTATTTCCAGTGCTTGAAATCATACTCAAGTCTGCTCAAATCCTGATTTGAGCATTGAGTAGAGTTCTGGAATACGACTCTTACAGGTGGAATATTTTACTACCATCTAACTTTGAACTACTATCGAGGTATCACTTTCTAACAAAAAAAGAATCATCAAAATCGGTTCACAAATGAGTCATCGCGTAACGTACATACAAAAAAAGTCGAATTGAGAACCTCCTCCTCTTTTGAAGTCGGTTAAAAAGTATATTTGTTGTTTTTACGACCTGTTGACTTTTTTTTTGTAAAATAAGTGTGCAAGCCTTCCGCTACTTTCAAAAATTGGTTCACGTCATTAACTTTGATACTGGCAAAATTGTCCCTGAATGTGTAAAAAAAATTGCCATAAAAATAAGCATACCTAAACACGAAGAAAGATTTTGAATCCGTAATACTTATTCCGTAGTCGCAGTCTACGGTAACGTGGGCACATCAATATAAAACACAAAGAGATTTTATTTTTTCAAAATTTGAATACTCAAACAAACCAATGTAACTCAACCTTACCTTCGGGAAACAAAGTTCAAGGTCAGCAGTCCCTGTGCCACCCACATTGGTCACTTTGTTAATACATCTTTCTCGCATGTTTTTTTATATCGAATGGTACGACAGCATCAGTTCTATTAGCATTCTTCCGTTCTGAATTTGTAAAAATCTTTTAACCGAAAATTGCAAAAATGTAAAAGTTAAAAAAAAAGTACCGGATATCAGTAATGCATCGGCCGGGAATCGAACCCGGGCCGCCCGCGTGGCAGGCGAGCATTCTATCACTGAACCACCGATGCTCCCAAGTAATGTATTGAAATTGGTCATCACTTGCTGCCGCCGCGTCATTGTATTTTAATATAATCTAAAAAACCGACTACAAAAGTTCGTGGAATTACATCTATTTGCCAAGTTTTATTGAAATCGGTTAGCGGAAAGTGTGCAAAACTGGCTTCACTCCCTACTTCGTCAATATACGGGAGTTAACACAGGAGATGATAAAAATTGGTGCTCACTGCTTAAAGTACTTACATTGATAGAAAAACGCCTTCAATTCAAGCATAGCAAAATCAACCATTAAAATAATTGCTCCGTATAAAATTTGGGCGCTATTTATAAAAATAAGTCTTTATGCGTGAATATTCCGTCGCCCGTTGAAAGCTTGCCTTTCAACCAGTAATACTTGCTTCAGTAGTAAGTGGTCAAATTTTTTAAAAGTTCTTGTAGAAGTTTTGATATCGGCCACTCTATTGACGTCATCAGTGCCAGGAAACACAGCTACAACTCGACCCAAATTGCACTTTAACGGTGGTAAATTGTCCTCCTTTGGAACTACTAGAGCGTTCATCTTCAATGCGTCTTTTCGAGTACGCCTACGAGTAGACATATACTTTGCTCCATCTGCACCAAAAATGTTGTCGAAGTTTTTCAATTTGCTGGAAACGATTCAAGCGATTGTTTGGCACATCTTGATTAGCCTGGCTTGGCAAAGAAGTGAGCGGTCTACCGATGATGAAATGTCCTGGTGTCAAGGTCTTCTGGATAGCTTGAGAGAAGGGATAGTGGTCGTGAGTTGAGGATTGCTTCAATTTGGATAAGTGCTGTACAGAGCGCTTCAAAATTTAAGTTACAATTACCCAACACTCTTTGTAAATGATATTTGGTCGACTTTACACCAGCCTCCCATAGACTTCCGAAATGTGGCGAATAAGCTTGAATAAAACCGAAATTTATTTCTTCATTCCCCCTACGCGTAATGAATCTGCGCAATTCTGATAAATAATTACCGCTTGTCAAATCTATGGAGGGCTATGTGCATCTTCACCAGCCTACATCCGCGACCTTGACAACTAACAGTTAAGTTCAATTATTTTCTTGATTTGAAGCTTATTTATCCTTGAATCCAGGTAGACAGAATCGGTGCTCACTGTCTAAAGTATACTGAGAGAAAAACGCCTTTAATTGGAGCATAGCAAAATCAACCATTAAAATAATTGCTCCTTATAAAATTTAGGCGCTATTTATAAAAATAAGTCTTCATGCACGAGCAGCCATCCTTAGAGGTGGAATATTTTCTTCAAAATTAAATGGGACCACTATTGACGTACGCTCTTTTCAACAAAAAAAGGATCATTAAAATCAGTTCACAAGTGCCGAAGTTATCGCGTAACATACATGCAAAAAAAAACATACAGTCGAATTATGAACCTCCTCCTTTTTTAAAGTCGGTTAAAATTAAAATATGCATAGTAATTTCCATGCTAGTCTTAATAAGGCAACATCCATTAGTACTTGAATTATTGAATACCACTGACACTCTGTTAATACTCAACTGCCATTGCAACTAGATTCTAGCAGAATAACAAATGTTATCATAATTGCAATATAGTCTCAGAAGAAAATCAGGCAAATTGGGGCCCTGGTCAAATTACGGGCACATAGAACTTATCAACTTTATGTCCCAGGATGACGGGAGCAGTGGCAGTGCCCATCAAATATTTGCGATTTAAAGTTTTGTGTCACAATGCAACTGTTGTTATATAAAGGACAGGCGCGTCGCTTACCATCAGGTGCACGACATTTTCGTCTCGTCACTTGATATTATAATTTGTTTCATGAATATCGTTTTCTTTTCGTGACTCGTGATAAATGCACTTTTGAAATTGGTTTTACTATGTACAGCCAGGGTACGTATTGTCACAGCAGTACCCGTGCTATTCAAAATATTGAATAAAAACTAATAATAACTGTATTGAAGGAAACAAATCAATTGCTGGTTTTCATGCTTTACCTGGTAAGTTCGCTGTTAGATACACAATGTTAATATACTTCTCAAATTAATATTCATTCAGAACTTGATAAGAGACATAAAATCTTTCTTAACAACATTGACCTACCATAAATAGGTCAATGCTTAACAAATTGAATTCTAAATAAAATTTTAAACTTGGAACGTAATGAAATGTACATTTAAAAATCATCTCGGACTATTTCTTTTTTGTTTTTTTCCCCCCTCTACTAAAGAAGCAAACGTACGCACCTACATAATTATATGTCTCGGAAATTAAGAAAGAATTAGTAATTAAAATAAATTATCAGTAATCTAATAATCTATTTTAACTGAAATAAAATTTAAACATTGGTGACGAATTCAAAGCGTATTTTATTATCTAATCAAATTGCATGTCACGCATGTATTTTACCAATCCATGCACCAAGTTGGTCCTTTACTAATAAAGTGACGATATTCAATGTTAAATTTTTGGAAAACTGTCGTTTATAGGTTTTTCATATAATATATGGCTGGGGTCTATGGGAATATATTGCTAAAAAAATACATTGTCTAATTTCTTCACGTTATTATTGTGTAATAATAAAGTGTTTTTGTTGTGTTTTTGTTAAAGCTTATTGTGCAACGTACCTTTTAGGTTTCCAGCGCTTCATAAAAACTCCAAACATCTTGAAATCCTTATAGCACTAAACTAATTCTTAATTAAAATTTTCTATTTCACTAACGATTGAAGAAACTATACAAGCTACGACATCACTTTTATACGATACGAACTAAATAATTTTGTATATGACTATTCACAACAACAACACTACACGAAATTACGCACTTCCTTGCCAAAAGTATTAAGAAATTGACAAATCTCACTAACGACCAGTTATTGACATTGGATTTAAATCACATAAATAATTGCACAGAGACAAACATTAGAATTCCTAATCTAGTGACCTAGACACTGACCACAATTCAAAATCGATATTTCTTATCGATAACAGAACATGGACTTAATTACAAAGCTGCATTCCGTCGAATTTAAAATTCGAATTTCAAAATCATCAGATGACGCATTTTCGGCATTCGATCGTAATCATAATTTAAAAAAAACAAAGAATGATTTCCGGACGACACGACGTACTCGCTCGCCCGTCAACGCGCGACTGAGTCAATTTCGTTATCGCGCGAGAGAGAGTAGACTATGTTTGCAACAGTAAAATATCATTAATTCGTTACGATACGTAAATAAATTATCAGTTTCAATGGCAATTATTTATTTCATTAGAACATTGGCCGATCTTTATACATATAATATCAATTTATATGTTTGTATATGAGCGGAAATAGTGTCAAAAAATTAATTTTACAACACCAGCATCATTGGTCACATTTGTACACACACGTTGATAACCACAATAAATATTTTATTAAGGTCAGACAACTATATACCAATAGGCATACGTTTCTTCAAACTAGAGAATTCCCTGCACTATGACAAGCCATGAAATGCACTCTGGGGCACTGTCCAGAACATTCAACTCACAACTAGTTTAGAAATTTTAGTTTCTTGGTCCTATCGAAAATTAAACCTAAGTTACGGGACCTACGTTACCCAATCAACATAAATGGTCCGATATATATTTTTCCACTTGACCTTCACCAAGTCGTCCGTTCTTTATCACTTAGAGCTCTACAACCAGTTTACATTGGCTGTAGGAAAAGCATAATAACATACTGTCTTGTTTGTACACTGTGTGTTGACCGGGAGAACGTCAGGTGCGCGGTCGATCAGCTGCTGTATTGGCGCCATCTTGCATTCTAGCGCCATCTCGCGGTGACCTCTAACTTCGAGATTTTTAAATTAAATTGCCCTCTTCCTCACTTCTCCCGTCTTACTAATTATAATTCCTGTAGATATTCGTTTATTCAGTGACAATGGCGCGTATTATATTATTATTGTTGCTATGTTGAGTGTGTGCGTTATTTATTGATATTATTGAACTGAGCTTATTGAATGCAAAATTTAAGGGCTGATTGTGCTAATTTGTTGCACGATATGATGTACTTTACCAGACCATACAAAATCCTGAAAGCAGGTAAAGTAAAAGTCTAAAACATATTAATGCACATAATTTTTATATTGAGGTTTCTGTTTAGTTTTCTATATAGAACCTGCAAAATTTTGGTTTTCAACTGAAACCTTCTAGTTATTAATTTCACATGTTTCCAAAAACTTGTAAATTGCTCTGCGGGCCGCCCGCCCGATGTTCCGTCACTTTCCATTGGGCGCTTGTCAACGTCGGATGTGTGTGTGAAATTTTCTCCATCCTTTCTTATTTTATTATATTATTAATTTTCAACGCGCGAATTTCGGGACGCGAGTGTGGCCACCCATATTTCACCTCCTACAATTTGGTTTGCGTTCAAATACTTCGACTATTGCAGTGAATAAATAAATAAAATAAATTTCAATTAATAAGACTATCGAAATACTACTCAAAATCACATTCCCGAAGTGAACGAACTTAACCAAATTCTCGTATAGATATAGCCTAAATTCCAAGGCACACCTGCCAAAACTATTCGTCTCATGTTTTTTGTTACGCCTTCACTAAATTACAATTGTTCGAATTTCTCGTACAGTTGTCTAAATAATTCGTTCGGTAGACCACAACTGTTGATAAACAAACATTTAGAAACAAATAAATACGTTGAAAATTATACCTTTTTCTATTTAAATAGCGTTCAAATTCGTGTAAATAAATGACGAGTTTGTTTCTGTGTGTACTATAGTTGCAATGACCCGAAATTTTACATTGTTTAATTATTATTACTTTTCAACACGAACAAATTCATTTGTTACAGAATGTATTTACACACGTTCAGAGATAGGCAGTGGGTTAAAACTCAATCAAACAACAACCGCCCGGGTTTTTTAGCACTCCAAAACAGCACAATAAGATATTTTTTTTGGAAAGATTGATACAACCATATCGACAAAGCGAAATTGGCGAACTAAGCTCAAGAAGGCCTAACTAGGCCTACAGTTGGCACGCGTGTGGTGTGACTAACCACTGCTACTGTTTGTTGTTATGTGATCTTTTAACATGTGTACCAATGTTCGTCAAAAATAATCAAAAATACTATGTACGTACCATCCCTATCATAATTCATTTCACATAGCATAATTCCGGTAACGTTTGAGATTTGAAATTTCTAGAGATGTCGTCATGTAAAATCGAATCAAAAATAGATTTAAATTCATTGAAAATAATTTAAGAAAAGACAATAAACAAAATAAAAAAGATTCCATTATTATGTTATTTACTTAATTTACCAAAGAAAACTTCACAACAAATGAATAATCAACAACAACCAAACAAAAAGTCAACAACAAAGTGTAAAATCAACAGCAATAAACGAAATTTGTATAATTACACCAAAAACATCACGATAAGCTTAAAACAAAAGGAAAAGACCCGCGTAGGTACAAGGTGCATGCACTCTTATTGACGCGAGATACACAATCGCTGGTTCAATTTATCTATTTTATGATGTAAATCTCTATGGATAAAATATTCCGTTTCATGCATCAAGTAATTGGGGTAATTTATTTTCATCTTTATCATTCCATTTTATTTCTACTTAACATGTTACTGTAATTTTTATTTAAAATTACATCTGCAACGAATATTGTTTGTTTTTGGTAAATTGTGACAAATTTGCTGTCTTTGTGTAACCTGGCTGAGAGATTAGTTAGAAAAAGTATGCGTACAACGTAAAAATTGGAAATGTCACATGACTCATCCGGTGTGAAATGGACTACAAATTGCTTTGAAATAAAAAAAAAGCTTTCAAACCAGTGCTGCCGTTTGGGAGATACGATACAGAGAACTGATATACTTACGAACAATAATGACATACGTATTTATGAAGAATCATTTTATGTTATTTGCTTTTTTGTAGTTTATTTCTTTTTATGTTTGTTTTTTATTATTTTCTTAGTGTTTAAAAAAAAACTAAGTGTAGAGTGGTCGGCGCAGGGGGTGCGTAGAAAATAGAGACGCAGACTTTGTGGACAAGGCGTGTATTAATTAGAAGGCAAAAACAAGTCAATGGCAAAAACAAATAGTTTGTGCAGCCTGGGAATCAACATTGTGTCTCACTGACATGAAAGCACAAGGTTCAGTGCCCAAGCTAAGTTAACTTGAGAGCCTTTTAATGCCATACAAATGCTATAGCAGTAGAAACAAAACCAGTCATTCATCGAATTTCTTTCCATTGAAAATACAAAACATTATGAGGTGACTTATATTAAAAGTATAAATTGACTTATACTATTGAAGTTAACAAAACGATAGTGCGGATCAGGGTACAACTACTGCCATCTAGCGGTGGCGTGATGGAACTAACGGCGTGTTAAACGTGGCGTGGCGTGGAAACTCTGCCGGTTTAAGTGATAACTTTTTTTATACAATCTTGTATAAAAAAAGTTTATAAAATTTTATATAATATATAATCTTGTACACAAATTGTAAACTGTTTGTTCCCCAAAAATAAAATAAAAATTCTTACAGATACGTAAACAACGGTTTCAAAGTTGTAACTTTTATCTCTTTGCGTCGGGTATTAAAAAGATGGAATTTGATGAAGAAGATGAATGTTTGTTATACAAACACAATAGATAAAGCACATTGAATGTGGGTAATCTAAATAAGTGTACCGTTTTTTCTGACTCATTTGAATGTACATACAAGCCTGGACTCGAACCAGGCCTCTGCTTGGGAGGGCGGTATGTCAAACTAAGGGTCGTATTCTAGAACTCTACTCAATGCTCAAGTCAGGATTGCAATGGAAACACAAGCACTGGAAATACGACCCTAATGGCAGGGACTTGAGTATGATATGAATTGCTTTAAACTATACTCAAATCCTGACTTGAGCATTGAGTAGAGTTCTAGAATACGGCCCTAGGACTTCAAAAAATATAGGACAAAATAGAACTCTATATTTCACACAAGAACAAATACAAAATAAATAAAAGACAACAGACGGGTTATATTGAGTTTCACAAATAATAAAGAAAACGATATTTAAACAATCGGATTAATATAATAGGTATTTAATTAAATTAATATTGAAGCATACTTTGTAGTAAATTAAGTTCCGTGTATATGTTGGCGTATACATATGTGTGGCGGTGTTATTAATGTAGTAATCCAAATAAATAACCACATAAATCTATATAAATAACACCTGTGTAATAATTATGTATGTATATCTGCTTCTACTGTAAGAAGAGTTTTTGTATTGCTGTTCTTGGTATTACTTTATCTGTGTTTTCTATTACTATATTTCACGGAATTTTGAAAGTACATCTGCAATCTATGAAAAGCAACTAAAAAATATTAATTTTTATTAACATAGAATGGCGTCGCGGTAACATGTGATGACTAAGTTCATACAATTGAGTACTAGCATCGGTGGTTCAGTGGTAGAATGCTCGCCTGCCACGCGGGCGGCCCGGGTTCGATTCCCGGCCGATGCATTGTTTCTTATGCGGTTGGTTTTTTTTTTTTTCAGTCTTGCAATTTTCGGTTAAAAAATTTTTACTGATTCAGAAATTCAGAACGGAAGATTACTAATAGAACTGATGTTGTCGTACCACTCTATATAAAAAACGTGCGACAAAGATGTATTAACAAAGTGCCCAATCACAAAGGGTGGCAATGGGACTGATGACCTTGAACTTTATTACCCGAGGGTAGGGTTAAGTTACATTGGTTTGTTTTAAGTATTCAAATGAATTTTTTTCTGTGTTTTATATTGATGTGTCCACGTTACCGTAGAATGCGACTATGGAATAAGTATTACGGATCCTAAACCTTTCTTCGTATTTAGGTATGCTTTTTTTATGGCGATTTTATTTACACATTCAGGGGCAATTTTACCAGTATCGAAGTTAATGACGTGGACGAACTTTTGGAAGTATGCGGAAGGCTTGCTCAGTTATTTTACAAAAAAATGTCAACTGGTCGTAAAAACAAGAAATATACTTTTGAACCGACTTCACAAAAGGAGGAGGTTCTCAATTCGACTTTTTTTTTTATTTTGGTGATTCTTTTTTTGTTGGAAAGAGGGTAGTACCTCGATAGTAGTCTTATTTCAATTTGAAGAAAATATGCAACCTCTAAGGGTGGCGAACTTAGGAGATGAATCCACTTTCGCACAGTTTTTTTTAACGGAATTTAAAAAAACCTGGGCAAATTGAAAAAAATGTAAAAAAGATGATAATGTTGAAAAAGATGTAATTCCACGAAATTATGATGTCGGTTTTTTTTAGTACTCTGTACTGAGATGATTATTACCTTAGTATAATAACGCATAGAATGATAGTTTCATATCAAACGAACTGTCACAAGTGAGGCAAAAATCAAATTCATGTAGTCTAGTTTTAGTAGTAGGTTAATTTTCGGGTTTAGTGAATAATTATATAAAAATATAAGTTGAAACGCGTTACTTCCTTGTGGAATGTGATGTTAGTATGTATTTTATGTTTGTCTGACGTATTTTTACACTCGTTTACCGCACATTTCGTCATTTTTAGCTAAAATTCTTGAGCTGTTCGCGGTGCAATGACCTTGAGCACGGAAGGCCCGCCCGCTCATGTAGGTCCTATGGGAGCGTTTCAATTTGCCTCACTTAGCGTGTGCGGACTAGGTTTCTATGCGTTATTATTCTAAGATTATTACTTTATTTTATTAAAACAATCCCGGTGGTAAGCGACACGCCTGTCCATTAGTAGTTGCAGTGTCACTTAGATTTAAATCGCAGAGATCTGAGCGGTACTGCCACTGCGCCTGTAACTCTAAGACATAAATTGACAAGTCCCATGTGCCTGTAATTTCTCCTGCACCCTTACCATTCAAAACCGTAACGCAGTAGTTCCCACATTACCGCTTGGCATCAGAAATAGGTAAGGTGGCAGTACTATCCTGGACGAACTCTTTCACAAGCTCTACTGACTGAATCGTTATATAATTATCATTGTCCTCGTGCTAATGCAGTACCTACAAGCACCCGGGACAGCTCACCCAAGGCACTAGCCTTTTGAGTACCGGATGAAGTTCGTGCAAACGAGCTGGATGGATGGAGCTGGAAAATGTATGGAAAGTGACTTGGCTTTAGATTCCACACAAATTTAATTCAAAGTGTATTTATTCCATTGCATTTATGCAACTCTTAGAACTTCTTGCTCGTTCTTGTCAGAAAAATGACGCTTATTGTACTTATCGGGATATTTTTTGAAAAGTTCGGGTTTCAAGGAATAAATACTTGTGATTTCGGAATGATAGACTTAATTTTACAGGTCATGTAAGAAAAACCAAGTAGTCTAAGTATGCCATATTTATTCGTAAGCTAACACACTTTGGTTGTAAAAAGTTTCAATACCAATGTTTCAGTTTTTAAATAACGAATGTCTTACTTAGACGTAAACGCGCGTCATCTGCGCTTATGTACGAGGACGCGTTGTAGTCGTAACTGCCTTAGTGACCGAACGGTTACCATGCTGCCACGCAGAGGACTTGGGTTCGATTCCCGAGCCGGGAGAAATATTTGAATGGCTTACATTTATTTCTCTCGTGAGTATGAGTGTAATTTGTGGTTGTCTACCTATGTGTGTGTCCATGGTACCCGCGATATAGGGTTTCCCTAGTGCGGGCCCATTGAGTGTGTGAGTTATTATTATTATTATTAGCCGCGCGATACGTAATCGCGCATTTTGATAAAAGATAGTTTCAAATTTAGTTTTGTTTGTTAATTTCAGTTAGTTTTTGAAATAAAGAAACTACATTAAATTCTAAGTGTAAACTCCAGTGGAGTAAGCTTGTTGCTGAAACGCGATGTTTGTGCGCGTTTGAGTCGATTCATTACAGCGCGTCTGCGGCGCATATAAGCGCAGATGACGCGCGTTTCTCTAAAAATCGATTTAGCAAACTAATAAATTAAATTTATACGATGTTTTCACATATTTTTAACACAATACTAAACATTTTAATTCTTCACTTATATTAATTCTTTGATTTTGAAATTTTTACGCTAAGTGAAGCTGAGTCCGTTATTTTGTTTCTCCGTTCACCGACCATTCGTCATTCTTTCATGTTTTCGGGTGCTGTGCTTTTATCGACAATTTGGCTTGATTAGGGTTTTTTATTTGCATACTAATTAGGTTTGTATTTATCACTGGAACAACGGCTTTTGGCTAATGTCACTCAGTATTAAATCACATATTTTTTGTTAGTAATCAGCAGCGGAAAAACAAAATAAACTTTTAACCTTTAAACTTTATTCCAACTGATTCAATTGAACAAATTGAATAATTTAATTAATTAATTGACGATTCTATGGTTGGATCAGTTTCTTTTTGTTACCTTTTTGTTACCTTTCATGCAAAACTACTATAGTCATGCGTTTAATTTCATACATCAAGTTTAAAAAAAGTTTAAGTGTTAAAATCTTCGTTAAGTACCCAAGTATTTGACGAAGAGTTTAACGCCTATACTTTAGTTGTTTTGTAAGGCAGTTTTGGGGACTCCGTTAGCTTCAGCTCGTTTCGGCCTTTCACGCATTATCTCCGTCAGTTACACTATTGTCTTCTATCTCACCCCGGCTGTCATTTGTACGTCCATTATTATCAACACCGATATCATCATTCTCATTATCAGCATTTTCTGATGAGTCATCACCATCACCTTCATAATCATCCGGTAAAGTAGCTAACGTTATAGCTGCGCCTTCGTAATCGTCCTCTTGTGAACCATCAGTTTCACTTTCATTTATCTCAGCAGGGTTTTCCATGAAACCTTTGCAAGCTTCTATGCAGGAATCGAGGTCATCAAACTTGTTATACGTCTCACATCCCTTCCATTCGACCTCTTGACACTTTTCCACGTCATTGTTAAAGGTATATACATATTCCACCGTATCGCAATCCTCCAAGTTGATCGGTATTTTACAATCTGAAAGAAATTAAATATTATGAAATACCTAAGCTACACGATGTATCTGTAGAAATAGCATAATACGTGCGTCTGAAACTTTGGAAATATACAAGGTCAAACTTGACACTTAATATGTAAGAGATTTAAAGTGACGAGCTTGATGAGATCTTGGCTATGACCAGTAACTGACTTATAATAATAATTGTTTATTTTCAGGCAAAAATCCCATTTTACGTATTTTATATAATGTGGTATAATGGAACAATAATGATAATAGTCAAGTATAAAACATAGTAGTAAAATAGAATAAAGTAATAAGGTATGACCCATATAGGTCTTCGTCTAATCTATTTCCTGTTTGCGTCGCGGTGAATGGAAATAGATCTCAATATGCCGTGATCAGAACGCAAGAAAAGCAGAGAATTGCATGAACAACGCAATCTGTCCCAAAAGGAAGCAATACAAGCCCTGACAACAGCGAAGAAATCAGGTAATCCCTCCTCGGCGAACATGGTCGATGCACTGCAGTAGCATAATAACTTTATAAAAATGTCGAACGCGTCATTGTATTGCACTCTTAGGGTCGTATTCCAGAACCCTACTCAATGCTCAAGGCAGGACTTGAGTATGATTTAAAGCACTGAAAATCATACTCAAGTCCTTGCCATTAGGGTCGTATTTCAAGTGCTTGAAATCATACTCAAGTCTGCTCAAGTACTGACTTGAGCATTGAGTAGAGTTCTGGAATACGACCCTTAGAGTACTTAGGCTCGCTCTTTTGAAGTTAACCCACAATTGACAGGTGTAAAAGCACTGACAATAAGCCTGGAAAAGCTTCACCTCGTTACTACATTTAGTATTACTACGTAAATCTTTTGGCGAGCATGTTACACCGAATCGAGATAGCCCTCTTCTCTCTCTCTATGTCTCTATGTTGACTTATGGATTGTCATCACGTCGGATGGGTGATTTAATAAATTATTTTCTATTATTATTTATTTTGACCCATTGATAGTATTGGTGTTTTGCCTTATTTCCGTGGTTTGTAGTAATAATAACAATAAGGCGTGTCAGTTATCTCTTAACACCCACATACAGCAAATGTTTGAGCTTTGTATATACGGGCCATGAGCCCAAACTGGGTAAATCAGTTAAAAAACACCAGGCGGGGTAATTGTTGAGGTGTTAATTCTGATGTCAGTGATGGTAGCATGTTAGCGTCACACATATCAAAGTTAACTGTCACCATAACAAGAATGTGCAGAAGGTACAGAAAACAACGGCTCTCTTAGGTATAAGTTTGTAAAGAAAGTTCATTAACCAAGTTAACCAAACAAAAAATATTCTTCATTTATTTCTCTCTCTCTCTCTCTCTCTCTCTCTCTCTCTCTCTCTCTCTCTCT